ATATATATATATATAAGAAGTCTGGAAAATATCAAGTAAGTAAACCTAGACCCAAATTCTCTAAATTTAGGCCTAGACAAACCAATAACCAACATAATAGGCCACCTATTACTAAACCTACGCCTCAGGGTCCGAATCCTAGTAACAGGCCTAGAGAAACTAGGACTTGTTTCAAATGTGGCCGCCAAGGTCATTTAGCAAAATTCTGTAGGGTCTCCTCTAAGGTTAGAGAACTCAACCTTGATCCTACTATCCTTGACCAGCTCAATAATCTTTTTATCAATTCTTCTGATAGTGATGAAGATGATAAACAATCGTCTGATGATGACGTCCAAGCTGATGATGACCTCTCCTCTTCAGATGATGGCTCTGAATCTCCTATTATCAATGTTATTCACAATGATGAGCAAAATCTTCTCCTTGACGCTTTAAAATCCATTCAAGATCCTCATGAACGGAATGAGTATCTTGAGAAGCTCAAGCAACTCCTTCACAAACCTAAGTCTACTCATCCTGATAACAGGTTTGTCAATAATAAGTTTGATCTCACTCAGACTCTCAAACGTCTTAAAAAATCTACGGCTAAGCCTGTTACCATTCATGACCTTCAAACAGAAATTAGTTTTCTCAAATCTGAGAAAAGAGAAAAAGAAGAGAAAATTGAGAGCATAGGGGAAAAGGGTAAGTGGAGAAAAGAGAAAGGTAGAAAATTGGACCTAAAGTGGCTGGAGTGTCGTGGAAGATGGTGGAGGCTTGATGGCACGACCTTGGGCAAGAGATGCTACAGGCGTGACCTCGACATAGTGTAGGATGTGTGATTTCTCATGCTTATGTTAGGGGTGGCACGACCGTGGGAAAGAGATGCTACAGGCGTGACCTTGGCATAATGTGAGATGTTTGAGGCAATTAATACTTATGTCGGGGGTGGCACGACCTTAGGCAAGAGATGCTACAGGCATGACCTTGACCTAGTGTTAATTGCAAGATTTGTGATGGATTGGTGTGATTGTGAATTGTGATGTGAATGATGCATGATTAATAGAATTAGGATATATAAAAATGCTTGTAAATATTCCATTAAGTAATGAGTTATGATGAGACGATGTTGTGGATTTTTCTTGTGTGCTTTACATATAGATGTTTTCTTTTCTCACCGTATAATTTGTGGATGTTTTAGGTGAGGAAGATCCGGCTATGAGCGGCATCTAGAATTCCAACAGTTGAATTATGGGTATGCTCTGATGTTGTGACATCGGGCCAGAGAATTTCTAGGACATGGAATTTTTATATGGATTTAGAGTTGTACTTATTTGTAAACTCTTATGTTTTATTTTTCAATTTTTATTCATTTTTGGATATTGAAGAACATTTGTAAAGATTTTTATGTGAACCCTTTTACCAATGTTGAAAAATTTATTTCCTTAGTTTATTGACATTATTACAATATATGTGTTGGGGTAGTAAGGGTGTCACAGTTTGAATGTTTGGTGCTTCAGTTGTGTTCCTTGATGAATGTTGAGCATGAATGTGTGTTTAATTTTGAAATTGGATATGTTTTGATATAGATTAGAATGGTTTATAGGTTCCTTTAGGAAACCCTATGAGAAATAATTAGGGACATGATCATTTGAAAAGAATTAAGGTATTTAATGTGAAATTCAGTATGGATTTGTGTTTTGGACGTTCTTTGAAGTATTTGTACTGAATAAATTGTGTAAATATGTGCTTATATGTGAAAAATCGCGTGATTGTAAAGTCTAGTTTTGTAGGTTCGCATTGGGGTGCCAGGGGTGCGGTTCTTCGTATCAGGAGTAGGAAAGTTGAACCGGGCATAGCAAAGTTGCTCAGGCATAGGAAGTCTAGCCGGGCACGTGTGAAGCTGCGTTGGGTGAGTTTCCCCACTTTAGGCATTCCATTAAATTCGCTGAGCGCGCTCTGGGTGTGTCAGGCTTGCTGCTCTGCTTTTTTGTGCCATATTTAATTCATTGAGCATTAGTTGGGACGTGTCAGGTGTGACCCCAATTGATGTTTTACATGTTTTATATGCTTATAAATGGTTAATTGATTGTGTAATGTATAACTACTGATCTAATGTGAAGTATGTGTTGTTGTGAATACTATGAATTTGAGAACTAATTGTATGTGACCATATGATTATGACTATGAGAATGTTAAACGTGATGAAATGAGATAAGACATGAAATATCGTGACAAGTAAAGTGAAGAGTCCTTGACATTGTGAATGTGACCATATTTTATGTGATGGGGTAGGATATGGAGTACATCATCAAGGAAAGCTTTCCTTGTGAAACATCTTGGAGGAGTCATAAGGGATAACGCAATTTGGAAGACCTAATTCTACCCGTTTGTGTGCATGTGACATATCTTACGCGCGGGTTCACTATCCTGATGAGACCCTAGTAGTACATCCTTCTAGTTGAGAGTGCATGGGTTGGGCCCTGCATGTACTCCTACACTACTCTAGTTATGTTGCTTCAGTAGCATACACTACTACAAAAACACTCTTTAACATCGCCATATTTACATTGGTTCTAGTAGAATCGATGTAAATTATAAATGCGGTGGCAAACTTGTAAATAAATAGAAAATACAAACATATTTATATCGGTTGAGAGGAGAAATGATGTAAATATGAGAAATTTTACATCGGGTTTATGAATAACCGATGTAGTAATGAAATCTAGGAATTGTTCTACATCGGTTTTCGTTACAACCGATGTAGAATTGAGACCCTAATCTCAAACAATCGTCTGATGATGACGTCCAAGCTGATGATGACCTTCCTAATCAGATTCTTGAGAAAACACAACTTCAAAGATTCTTAGGTTGTTTAAATTATGTTTCTGATTTCTTTCCTCAACTCAGTAACATAATTAAACCCCTTCATGAAAGACTCAAGAATTCTCCCCCACCATGGACTGATGTCCATACCAATATCGTCAAACAAATCAAACAACAAGTTGATCTTCCTTAGATACCTCTGGTATCAGAGCCAGATGGGGAAGTAGGAATTTATGGCTGGATCTAAGTTTCTTTTAATATTAAAATCATGATGTAAGGTT